CCTGGGGGCCACAGGGTGGCCGGTGGCTGCTCTGGCTGGAGCCATGTGGCAGGTGGCCTGCAGCTGCTCCAGCAGCCCCAGCCTGGATGAGAGTAGGAACTGTGTCACAGGTGGCCTGCAGCTGCTTTGGTGGCTAGAGCCAGACCCGCATAGCTGGAACTGAATGGGACTGACACTGGGGGGGGTCCTGGTGGAGGGGAGGTCTATAAGGGGCGGAGAGGAGCTGGTGGAACTGAAGCCAGCTGTTCGCAGCGGCTCTGGGGACCAGGACTTTTGGCAGGCCAGTAACATTTATTTGAATAATGAATATGCAAGTAAACTGTTACTGGTCCGCCAAAAGTTTGTGAATAGGAACTTGGTCTGTGGTGTGAAAAGGGCAGTGGTTTCTAACCTTAGTTGGAACACACATCCCCATCCTGGCACCTGACCACTATGCCTTGGAGTACATCAACTGCAAGGGTTACTTCTCCATGGTGATGTAGGTACTCATGGATCACAAGGGCCATTTTACTGACATCAAAGTGGGATAATCAGGAAAGGTGTATGATGCATGCATCTTTAGGAACTCCTGCCTCTTCTGAAAGATGCACACTGGCATTATTTTCCAGACTGCAACATCAGAGTAGAAAAAGTTGACAGGGCAATAGTGATTCTTGGTGTCCCAGCCTACTCCTTGTTCCTCTGGCTCGTGAAACCCTATGTGGGCAGCCTGGATCCCAAGCAAGAAGGATTTCAACAACAGGCTAAGCAGGTGCAGAATGGTGGTGGAATGCAGTCGCCTCTTGGGGAACAATACTAATAGATTCTCCTCCTCCTTCCAGGTTGCCATGCGATTTATCAGTCTTCTCCAAATCATGACGAGTAGGACCAGTGCTTTACTGAATGTGGCCATAAACCTGGCCTTATGCTGCACTGCTTTGTGGCTCAATGACACCCAACCACGTACTGGTGGATTGGCATGGGAAGGTGTCTTACTGTGGAAAACAGCATATGACTGGCCTCCCCAAAAACCTTGTGAGAAGGATCAAAGAGTTTCTATTTGAAAGCTTCATGGAGCCATGCAGACACATGAACAAGCTGTTTGTGCCTTGCACATTGTGTTGGTCGAGAGAGAAAGAGAGTGCCGTTGCTTATACCTCCTTGCCTGAACTTGCTTGTAGTTAGACAAAGTTTGTGAACTCACTAGAAGTGCCCCTCTGGGGTTGTCAATGGCCTGGGAGGATGGGACTGGCTCCAGAGTCATGACCAGCTCCAGGCTCTTGAGCATCATTGGCTGGCTAGTCTCCTCCTACTATTGCCCCTCCATCAGCCTGCTCTCCTGCAGGCTGATGCCATGCATATCTTGTCCTAACAACCACACTGTGGGAGCTGGCCAGATCCCCCACCCTCTCCCCCCTGAATGTCAGCCTGCTGCTCATAATAGTGGCATCTATAAGGTTCACTCCCAGAGCATCCAATCTCTGCCACCTAGTGATATGACTGGTACAACTCCTTAATTTTTACTCTGCACTGCTGGGCATCCCTGGCATATCCTTTTGCCCTGAGGCAGCTTGTGCTCCTGCTGTGGAACTTGGTACTCTTCTTGCTGGTTCTGAGCTTTTGGAGGATGGATTCATTGCCCCACTCCTCGACAAGGTCCAGGATGTCTTGCATATCCAGGCAGGTGCTCTTCTTCATCCCTGGGAAGTGATGGTTGTGGGAACAGAAGTACTCGCAGCTGGCGGAGTGTCCAACAGAATGTTGGAATTCATCTCATTTGCCCTGATGTGCTGCTTGCTGGCAAGGCTGACCACATAGGACAGGCCATTCTACTGTTCCCCAGGGCTTTTTGAGCTTGATGGAAAAGCAGTAGCATCAGGAGTGGCCAGAGTGGACAGCTGTGGGAAATTTCAATAGCACTGAATTTCTGGTAGTGCTGTGCCTACACTAGCATCACTTTGACCATGCAGGCCAGGGACTAGCATTACTCCTGGGCTACGTCTAGACTGGCATGATTTTCCACAAATGCTTTTAACAGAAAAGACAAAATCTGAGCTGTCTACACTGGCCCTTTTGCGCAAAAGGACTTTTGCCCGAACGGGAGCAGCATAGTATTTCCGCAAGAAGCACTGATTTCAGACAGTAGGAAGTCAGTGTTCTTGCGGAAATTCAAGCAGCCAGTGTAGCTGCTTTTGCGGAAAAACTTGCCAGCCCTGGTGAAAAGCAAGAGTACAGAAATCTATGTCAGTGGCCACTCAGGGCAGCACAACAGGCTTGCTAATGTGGATGCATCACTTGGAAATTCGACTATATGGGATTAGGGTTGATGTAAAATCCTATTGTACACCCAATCTAACAGAACTCAGAGGCAGGTACTTAATTTTAAGCACATAATAGCACTGAAATCAGAGACTAGAATATCTTTTGCTGGGTCAAGCAAATGTGCTCAGCAGCCTATGGGAATGAGCCTGATGGAAACTGCTGCTGGCTAGCCCCAAAATTTGCCCCCCAAGCTATTAGATTGCTCCAAACCTGAATTAATTTCTATTTTGATTTCCACTATATTTCTAGTTAAAGCAGCAGCAACCTGTAGTTAGGTATGAAGGGTATAATGGCAAGCTTGAACTTGATGTTCAGCTGCTTTAGTACTACAAGCAGTCCCCGGGTTAGGTACAAGATAGGGACTGTTGGTTTGTTCTTAAGTTGAATCTGTATGTAAGTCGGAACTGGTGTCAGCCACTGCTGAAACTGATCAGTTTCAACCAGGGCTGAATCTGGATGCCAGTTCTGACTTACATACAGATTCAACTTAAGAACAAACCGAACTTGATGTTCAGCTGCTTTAGTACTACAAGCAGTCCCCGGGTTAGGTACAAGATAGGGACTGTTGGTTTGTTCTTAAGTTGAATCTGTATGTAAGTCGGAACTGGTGTCAGCCACTGCTGAAACTGATCAGTTTCAACCAGGGCTGAATCTGGATGCCAGTTCTGACTTACATACAGATTCAACTTAAGAACAAACCGCGTCCCCAAGTCAGCTGCTGCTGAAACTGATCAGCAGCTGATTCCAGGAAGCCCGGGGCAGAGCAACTCTGCCTCGGGCTTCCTGTAGTCAGCGCTGG